GGTTTTATTTTACATAGTTAAGATAGCTTTTATTTAGAAAAGAGCAAGGCAAAATAAATTTAAAGTTTAGATCAAAAGTAAAACAAATAAAAATCAGTGAAAATTTTCGCCCGGTGTTATTTAACCTTTTTTAATACTTTTTCCCCTTTTTTACTTTCCTGGATTCGAGTAGTGCCCTTGCCATCGTGGCCGAGATGCGCCTACTGCCTGTCGGAAGGTCCATGGTTCAATTTCTGGCTCCAGCAACATCAAAAAAAGTTTATTCAAATAGCGGTCTCTCCTTGGCAGATAATGGCAAATATCCGAGTGTACTTTTGCCATAAACAAATTCTTAGGAGGAGTAGTAAAAGTTTAGATCTATCGATTTGTGTCACAACTTCAAGAAGCAGAACCAGAATTGGAAGAGAAGCTCGACCAAACACGTAGAAAACGTTTAAGCGCCAAACATTCATTTATATTTAGAGTCTAATATGTTAATTCCCAAATAACCTAGGATATAATTTCCAATACTAAGAAGGGGTTTCTCAAGACTATTTAGGGGTTTCCCGTAAACTGGAAAAAAAAAATTGAAAACTTCGAGCAACTCAAAACTTTTATTGAAAGGTTAAGATGTGTTTGAAATTACAAAAAAAAAAACGTTTCATTCGATATTCGCAAAATCTAGATTTCAAAAATGACCGCTTATAAATATTCAAAAGAACCGATGAAACCCGATTTAGAAACACCGAGTCAATCATGCTACTACATATAATTATTTATGTACATATGCTTCTGTTATCATTGCTTCTTCCTTCGAAAGAACCTAAAATCACAACCTTAGCTTTACCATGGGTTGTTTTTCAACGTTTTTCGATAAGAATCAGAAGGCAAGCAAAATTTGTAGCCGTTTTCACAAGAAGCTTGTTAACTTATCCTCCCCTTAACCTTTTTGAGAACAAATTTTATCTTTAAAGGGCAAATAATTTTAAAAGGGGACCTTATTCGTTCACCAGAGTAGGTTCAGTGCAAAAAGTCTCCTTGTTGGGGAGATTTTTGGCAGTTCCGAAATATGTAAGTCTTATATTTTTTGAACAGTATGAAGTTTTAAACTGTTTTATTTGAAAAATGAGCACAAGGAAATCCACAGATTGAAGGCACTAATTGCAGACTCATTTGAAAAATGTATGGTAAGATGAGCACCAATATCTAAATGTTAAAGACATTTTTAACAGAGATAAAAACAAATTGAAAATTCCGAAAAACTGTATTTTTATATTTTAGTCACTGGCACTTTTAGCGGTGGGACAAGCTTAAATGCATATCTTTTATCTTTTGTATATGTTCTTAAATCTAGTTAATACTTGAGAAAGCAAGTTCTGTGAAGTTCAGTCACAAATAATTATGAGGGAGAAAAATATAAAAATTGTATAAAATCGCAAGCCTTTGTTAGAAAAAACACCTCAATCGGAAGTTAATTGCAATGACTTATTTTTTTAAATGATACATTATACTTTTTCATTCATTTCTAAAAAAGAAATAAAATAAGTATTCGATATTAGTGCCTTTTTGGTTGTTTTTGGTGATATTTTCGTGTGAATTAAACTGATTTAAAACGGCATGTGCACCAAACGGCTTTATCATGTTGAACCTATTCATGTTGAACCACCTATTCACCTTAGCAACAACAAATTGAGGCTTGAAATATCAAAGCAACATGGCAAAAAAATTAAGAAAAAAAGGTTTTTTCTTAACAGCGGTCGCCCTCGGCAGGCAATGGCAAACCTCCGAGTGTATTTCTGCTATGAAAACCCGCTTCTCATAAAAATACAATCGCCGTTCGGAGTCGGCGTAAAACTGTAGGTCCCTCCACTTTGTGTGACAACATCAAGGCGCACGCCACAAATCGGAGGAGAAGCTCGGCCAAATAAATTTGGGCAGTCACATACCACGATTTTTGAATTTTAACCAATTCGTTTGAGAAAATACTCCCTCGTTAATTCTTCGAATTTGAAAATTAGATAAGGAATGGCTGAGTTAAATTATTCACATTTTCGTAAAACGGGCACTACGAATTTCAAGTATTTTGGCAGAACTTTTTGAAAAAAAGTTTAAGCAATTCTCTTACATTTATCTTTTCGTATCATTTGTTGTGGGAAAAAGTTTATAAACTTTTTTCATGAAAAATGCAATTTTTAAGTGTATTTTGAACACAGCCAATCACACCAATGACTCTGATTTTAAATAAAAATGTTTGGTGAGTGTTATCTTATATATATAAGTTCTATATGAAATTGATCAAATTGTATGATTTACTTCTGTAAATAGAGCGAAGGGCAGTTCAATGTACATAAGTACGCAACACGGCGCGCATTTTGTCGTATGGCATACATACAAAGTGGCTGCAAAATTTTTGAAAAATGTAGAATACGAAAAAATTTTGCTAAGGAAAATTCTTCGAAGATGCAAAAATAATAAACAATAGGGCTATTCGCGATCCGGTGCAAATGGCCTAGCATCATTGCATTGCAAATTTGTATTGCAAATTATTTGCAATACACAAACAAAATACACGCATTTGCATTTGTCATGGCTTGGCAAATTTGCAATACCGAAAATCCATAGCATAAATATGCTATGCATTGCATTCATAAACAAAACCAAAGCTGATGCACAAAAAGTGTTTTGCAAAAGCTTTACCATGCCAGTTTAATAAAGGTCGCTCACAATCCATGGCATATTTCTGCAATTGCATAAATTTGTCAGCTCTTATGCACCGAATCGCGAATAGCCCTAATAAACAACACACATAAAATAATTTCAGAATTTCGCGAATTTAGCCACAATATCTCAACAATTGAGCCAATTGAGTAGTTCGCAGGCACATGGAAATTCTATGGAAATAATTCTATAGGCATACGCTCTCAACAGTTCTGTCTCAATATTTGTTTGGCCACTGTTTTTAAGTTTTATTTTAAATTTACTTAGTCGGAGTAGAACTCACCTCATTAGTATAACTAAGAGAATCTCTTGCGATAATAACTATGTATATACATAATTATATAGTTTTGCACTTGGACTAATTAAGTTTTTAATTTTCTTTTGTTTTCACCAATCGCTTGGACGCTTTGACTTTGAAGTGCCGCCGGCGTTCAAATTTCATTCTACGCGATTAAGCGAGTCGAACAAAAGCACCGTCGCTGCAGTTCACAATTAAACAATTCGTCACTCGATTTATGTTTTATCAATTTTTGCACAATACAATTATGTATTCTCACTATGAAATTAATGGCCTGTGAATTGTCACTAAGTACAATGCATTATTAAACGTTTTACAGCTTGAGCATAACATTTGATTCCGTTTCGATGCTAAAATGCTTAAACGCTTTTATGCAGCACAAAATATGAACTTACGCTGTCCAAGTAATATGCATTCGGAGGCGTGTTGCATGTTGCATTAACTGACGGCGACATAACGCAATATGAACGTTGAACTGGAACTGGACGAATAGAGTTCTGTCGATCCAAGCGAATGGCTTCTTGGCGACTGTTTGGTATATTATTAAGGCGAAAGCGATTGCAATTTCAGTTGCAGCTGCAGCTGTTGTGCCGCTGCCGACGCCGCCGTTCAATGCGAAAGCCCAATTGCGAATGCGACACTAGCTAACGCGCCTGGCGACCGACCACTTTGTCTTATACTCCACTTCGCTCCACTCCACATCACACGTATGCATCTCCATACACGCATGTATGTACATACAAACACATATGAACATTCATCCATGCAACTCGCATGTGCAATGAATGCTCTGCAGCGAAGTATTTGAGATGCCATACGAACCATATCAAACAATTTGTGTGAGTCTATTTCCTAAGCGCTCCACCAAAGTCATAGCTGCTCGCGAAAAATGTCTGCAATCGAAATTGCAAACGAATATTTTCCACCGAAAAACTGAATGGCAAAGACAGCGCACAAAATTGACGAGCTGGCGAGTTACGCTGCATGGCACCGAATGGAATGCATTGGAGCAGTTAAGTTTGCTGTTACAGTTGCCTTCATCGTTACACTGTAGCCGTTTCGCTTTGGTTGTTTGGCTACCAAACACCAACTCCCTAACTGTAGCTTGTGACGTCCTTCGGACCAACACGCCACCACTTGCCACCAGTGTCTGGAGTTACAAAGGCCCATAAAGTGGGTTGTAAATACTATGTGTGGGAGCCAAATGGAATGTTTGCAGAGGGTGGTTGAATTTTTCCAGCCAAAACATGGCTTAACTTTGGCTACCCAAAAATATTTCCGTTTATAAACTTTGTTTTATGTTGTTTTTGTAGCTGCTTGTACGGCTTGGCTGTTGCCAGTCGAAATGTTCAAATTGAAATGAATGAATCAAACATCTGATCGGATAGTTGACCGATATGCACTCGCGAATTTGTGCCACCGCCTCCGTCGCCGCCGTCGCCATTAAACCAACAACTGGCATTACTTTATTCATACATATCTACGTACAGCAAATTACACCACACTTCATTCGAAAAGGTGCTCAGGATTGATGAGACCAATTGGCTGCATGACTGAGCTGTTCTCACTTTGTTGCCGCTGTTGAAGTCGTAGTTGTGTGGCAGTGCGGAATTCCATTGTTCGTTTGGTGTTGCAGGTGAGTACATAATAGGATATCGTCTGCTCCCGCTGGAATGCCAATACGAAAGTCGAACAAATGAGTAAAATGAGAGAGCGTGAACAGCAGTGTCCTGAGGCAAAAGGATTATTGGCGGATATTGGAGGTCAATTCACATACATGTACATATGTAAGTATAAACATTGTATTCAACGTCAATACTTGGGCATATGTGTGATGGTTGCAGTGCAACAGACTGCTCATTAAAATTGCAATATGATAACATGCCTGCATGTGCATTTACGTAGGTATGTATGTATGTATTAAGTTTATGACGATGGCGTGTTAGGGATATTACTTTTTAAAATTTGAAAACCAACTTTATAGGGACATGAAAAGCCTTAAAACCCAGTACAAACTTCATTTAATTTATTAGTTAAAAGCCAAAAAATAAATATGTTCAAATTTAAAAAAATACCTTAGTCTCAGGTTACGCTGAAAATGGTATTGTATCTAAGGTAACATTTTGAAGAGCATGGAGAATTCAGCCTGTACTGTAAATAATTTGTCTCGATAAGGTTTGATTTTAAAATTCCAGTAAAAGTTATTTTAATCAAGTAATGTTTAAGCAAAAAACAAAACAGACTTCAATCCGAATACAAAAATTTAAGATTATCGTTAATTTCCTTTAAAAAAAGAATCATAGAAATCGGTTAACGTGGTCCAAAGTTATGCGGTTACAAAGAATAAAAAAAAATTCCCACGAATTGAAAACTTTTTTTTGTGAAGTCGGTTAATAGTTTATGAAATTCAAAATTAAAATCGTAGGGGAATGTAATAAACTTGAATTGATATGAAAAGAAATATATGTATGTGGGTATATCGACCTGAAATTTGTATTTGCGCAGAGAAATTTAGGTCTATGTTGAGTAGTGTGAATGCTATTGCATGCAAGACTTATTGCCAATTAAATATAATAGAAAATCAAATTGTTTGAGTTACTGTCTAAGTTTATATCAACTCACTCTATTGTTTTTAAGTAAAATATACATATGTATGAAGCTCAAAATTTAACTATGTCGTAGCTACGCCATTTTGATACATTTTTTTTAAAGCTGCTGAATTTTTTTCTAAATACAAACCTGGGAAATTAAGCATACCTATATACATGGGAAAATATCGCGGAGTTTGTATATTTCGAAAATATCGTAATATCGTCCGATTTCAAAGTTGAAATGAATTTTTGAGTGGGGCTAACAACATTTTCATTGCCAACCTGAGGGTCAATTCTCGTTCTGCATTATTTCGAAGTGATAAAAATAACACTTTTACACCTCGTTTATTTTGGTGTTAATTTTATACTTTTCGCTTCACCTTGCGGTACCGCAGAGGAAAATGTGTTCCAAATTTCGAAATTTCATTTAGATTCAAATAAAAAAAAGTTGTTATCGTTGCTCCATACAAGTGGAACATTGTGCTCTAGAACAATTGACACATCAGTAACAAGATTAAAGCGTTGATTTGTTTTTATTGTCGTTTGATGTTTACCAATGGACATTTTTGATAAATAAATGCGCTGGGAAAAGAATAGCTTAGTTGCGAGACTAGAAACATTAGGGGTATTCTCGAAATCTTGCACAACCATTGCACTGTTCCCGATTACACGGTTTGCTAAACTTTCCCGTAGGAAACCGGTTTTACCGTGCAACCCGTGCAATCCTTTCACCCTGCAAGGGCTTTGCAAATCCTAGCGAAAACTCTATTGTATCAGCACAAAGTAATAGAAGTGCTGTGTTGCTTTGCGTTGATCCAATAGTTAAGCTGCATCACCTTGAGTTCATCGAGAAACGTAATTCCCTTGGAAGGCAAAGCAACATCGAGAACAGAGACGTTCCTAGGAGTAGGTCCTAATACTCTTAAGAAAGAGCTCAGAAAGCAGAGGAATGCACGAAGTGATCTAAAATCACGTGGCTCAGTAGAACTGCGGCAGGCAAATTGTCTACTAGGAGAGTACAACAATAAGAGATTCCTAAACTTAATTAACCTTCCAAAGGAGAAACTCTAAATACTAACAGGTATCCTTCAGGACTCTGCAGACTAAGAGGACATCCATATAAGATGGAAATATGTTAATATATTAAGTAACACGAAATCAAAACACATTCTTAAAATCCAGTCTATTTAAACAAAAAAAGCGAAAACGTAGGCATAGAACACTATCCTCAAAACTCAAAAATAGAATTGTTTATTCTCAACAGACAATATCAACCCTCAAAATTAATTTGGCACCCGTGTCTCTTTTACACCAATGGTTGTAATCATATACTTATGCGAATATCCATCTCCATCTCCAACATAAAACAAATAACACTTTTTCTACACATCCTTGTCTTCCCATAGACAATCGAATATGAGCACACAAACATGATTGCAGGGATTATTGACTTTTTGAAATATATACATACATATACGTACACATATATGTACATACAATTTCGTATGAGCATTTAGCAGTGGAAAAGTCACCACACATATGATAGCTATTTATATACATACATACGTATCCACATATGTATGTATGTATGGAAATGGATGAGTGCATTCATGGAGATATAGTCGCACGCAGTACATAATTGCGGAGAGCTCTGTGTTCGCTTGCGTCCACAATTTACGCGCGCCAGCAGAACCAGTCCCCCGTCCGACCGTCCGAGTATTGGGATGGTTGGTCTTAGGCGACGTCGCTACGCAGCTACAAGTGGCAAGCTGTTGTCCTCTAACAACCGGTTAGCTGTGGAATTTGGCTCATACAGGTGCTCTCGAGCCAGTTGAAGTGGTGAAATTCCGTCTTCGGCTAGTTTGGCGAATTTTTAGCGTCGCAACTGCCGAAACTGGAGTTGAAATGGTGCTGGCGCTGGAGTTTGCGCAGTTGGAACACTGCTCAATTGTTGCATGCCACATTTGCCAATGTGACTCGGAATTCGGAAAATGTTTTGGTTGTGGTAAAATAGTCTGCAGTTGTTTACAAAAACTTTAAGCAAACAAATTTGGCATTTACTGGCATCTTGGCCATGCAATTTTTGTTACTTTATCCTGGGCGAAATTGAATTGGATGATGGAGGGCGTACCGAGCAATTATTTTAAGCGAATATTGAGATGTGCTGTTGTACGATCTGTTTACTTTTGCTTACGGACTTAATGCTCTGGGTTTTGGACCATAAATCCATAAAAGCATCATTCCAAAAGGCGCCAAATTATGTTTAGATTGAGGAAAACAACAACAATTTTTATTGTTAACATTTTGCGATTCATTAATATCAATATTAATAATAGCAAAGATAAATTGACTGTATTCTTCGTAGTACGACCATTCAGGTTTATAAAATTTAGTTTATCTCACTTAGACTGATTTCCCTTACGAAAGATTTAAATTACGTGCATTCTGGTCAGCTAGTCCAGCTATTTGTATTGTAGCTTCGCAAATGCTGGGCATCTTAAGAGAAAATATTAAGATTAATCCTCCCTTCCATCTTCGTCCCCTAAACAGTTGCGGTAGTTGCAAACAGTATCCTATTAATAAACCCGCCAGAATTTAGAGTTGCGACTTTGTGAGCACAAGAAGGCACCGCGATATCAAATAGTCCGGTACACATGGAGAGCCTTTCCTGTTGTTGGATTTGAATCGCCTGCTTCAAAAGTATTAGTTATTCACGGTAGATTGCTTTATCTGGAATTTGACTAAGTTCGAGCAGCTCATAAGGAACGATTATTTTTCAGAATCAATCCGGGCATTAACGAAAGAAAACAAAATAACAAATGTTTTTAAAATCACATTTTTTACTGCGATACAATAGCAGCACAGATGGGTACGTATTATTAATAAGCTTTGCAGCAACGAAAACGGGGCGGACTTGTTCCGACGGAATCGAACAAGTGTGTGGATGCCTCTATTCCAAAATATTATCCTCAAATCATAAGCATATGAATATTCATGCAGGGAGTTTCAGGTTACTATCGGATAAATCGGATGGCGTAGCGGAATGCGACCTAGCCGGAAGACATTTAACTTCTTCATAGATGGCTCAAAAATGAAAGATGATGTAGGGTGTAGGAGCGGGAGTATATTGCGCAGAACTGAATGTTAGTCAGCCCATTAGACTGCTGGATCACTGCAGTATAGTCCGTACAGAAGTTTTCACAGTGAGAAAAGCCACTGAGCTTGCATACGCAATAAAGTTCACATATAAGTAGATAACAAAGCAGCCATTTAGGCTAAATATTAGCTCATACCAATTTATGGCATAAAATACCCTTAGAAGCAGGGAGACCATAAATAGGGCAGCAGCAAACAAGTGACTGTATATTTATTGGCTTCTCCGCACCAACGGCATTACAGGTAACGAAATTGTAGATGCCATCGCCAATAGCATAATTCACTTGGACAAGAGAATAACATTCCAAAATGCAGGCTATATCGAGATGGAATGCGCTAAAATACCGCAAAATTTCTAAAGTCAGGTGTAGACTAGAAAATGGGTACAAACCTGGTTTCTACTATCGCTACCTCGAAAAGACTGCAAAACTATGATAGGTCTGCTAACAGGACACTGTCAATGAAGTTTGCAGGAAATGCTGGAGGTCTGGAACAAGGGAGACATACAAAACTGAAATATCTTGGCGCTTCAGGGTTTAGTAAGCTTGAAGACATGACATGCTTGATCTGCAGTCATTCTGTAATTCTGAAAAAGCCTTGATATCCTAAATGATGTCTACTTCGAATATAGATACTTAACTAAAACTTCTACCACCATCTCGCATCATTTTGGTCTATGTGGGACGTTTAGCCAGCCAGAATGACCTAAGAGTGGATCAATCAATAATATTGTAGTCACTAATTACAGCGGTGGCTGCCCGAATTTTGCATGGGTTTTTTATGGGTTTGCCGAGCAATCTCGCTAGGTTTCCTATCTATTGCACGTAACCGTATATGCATATTAGGCTAACTCTAGCCATTTTTAGCTTTTTCATAAAAATGTTCAGCCTTTATGCAAATCTTATTTCATTAAAACAAATTTGCATATTCACAATTGGTGCAACGTGTGCGTGCCACTTTTCTGCGTGCAACGTTAAATGTGGTATATATGTTAATAATTAATATGTTAAATGTTAATTTGAGTAAATCTCAAAATCCAG